GTCTCGGGTCGGGGCCTGGCACAACCCTTGCGGCTCCCGTTCAAGTCAGCAGAGAAAAAGGCCCAATTGTCAGGGCCCGCGGGCAGTTGCTGCAAGAGTCCCTGTTAGAACCTGCACCTCGTCTCGTCGAAACGCGGCCTGTTCAGCTTCCAGGCCCTGGATCCCGCTGGACCTGTCTGCCCGACCGCAGAGCCCATCTCCGAATCCCTGTTCCTCCAGGGACTGACAGGCAGTCGCCACGTCCCCAGACAAATGGGGCTTTGACTGTCGCCCCACGGCGGGGCTCTAGCCTCGCGATCGTCCCCTGCGAGTGCCGCCAGCTTCTCCGCTCCCCTCCATCGCCACTTATGAGCCACGTCACAGCCCCGGCATCAGCTCTCGCCCACTTGGCCCAGCGCCCGGCCCTCTGCATTAGCCCCCCTCACCCAACTCGCGCATCGCCTGCGGACTGCTTTGCTGCTGCTTCCTTGCTCGCTACTAGAGACGTCACGTAACGCAGGGCCAAGGACCGACCCAGCAGGGACCCAGCGCCCACTCGATGACGACTCCCCATGTACGGTTTGAGACAGATCACTTGGCCCGTTTTCAACGTCTGACGTCTTAATTTCACATTGTTCTGGGTTTTTTAATGGTGATTTTTTAATGGCGCGTACAAATGCATCAGTATATGACAGCAGCGCTTTTCCATCAACCACACTTCTAAGCTCAGCAAAAACGCAATCGAGTTACTGTGAGAGGCTCTATTTCCCCCCAAAGCCTTGTTCTATTACCCTCCTTTAACCCTTCATTCACGGAGTCCTAGTTCAGCTGCTTAGCTAGCCTGCCCAGGGTCCATGTCGGACTGCCAGGCCTGTAATTGCCAGGTCATCCTTTTTACCCTTTCTTCCAGCCTTCGGGAACTTCCCCAGTGGTTAATGGGCCAGAGAACACCTCGGCCAGCTCGTCTAAAATTCTTGGATATAAGCAATCCTCCCTCTAATTTTTTTTTCTATCCACATGTGGAATAAATGTTGTTATGTGCACCAAGACATATGTGGATGTGCACCACCAGTATAAACACATGCTGCTGGCTGTGGGCACCCTGCTAATCAGCTGAGTGGCATTTGAATCTCTCCTGGGTGACCGCCCAAGTGCTCGGCTTCCAGGGAACACAGGATGGAAGTTATCCGGCCCAGCTGCTTTAAAACGTCTGCCTGTGATAGCTCCTGTTCACTGTCCTTCTGAGGAACCTGCAGAGCGAGAGTTCTCTCACGACACGGTGTGAATCCCAGAGCACTAGCACGGGGAGGGACCTCGCGAGCTCGAGTCCGGCCCCTGCCCGCACGGCACCACCCAGATCGGCACGCGGGATGGGAGCTCAGCCTGCCCCTCCCTCCCTGTGCAGCCGGGAGCTCATGCTGTGGCTCCAGCCTCAGCTGCGCAGCTGCAGGCTGGAGCTCCAGCTCCAGCTTCCAGCTAGGACAGGGGGCGGGGAGGAGGGTGAGAGAGGTCTGCACACGTCCCTGGGGCTGCCCCTGCCCAGCCTGGGCGTGCAGCTCCTGGGAGCTAAGGGGTTAAACCCCCCCCCAGCTACCAGCTTCTTGCCCAGCCCAGCCCCCCGGAGTCCAAACCTGACCGGGGCCCTACAGCAGCCTTTCCCCGAGGCCCCCAGAGCCGCGTGCTGCCAGGAAGGGCTGGGCAGCTCGGCCGGGCACCTCACCTGGCTCCAGGTTCCCTCTGCAACGCCTGGGGCCATCAGACACAAGGGCCACGGCGTGGCAGGAAGCAAGGGGGGGCAGCCCTCCCACAGAGTCTGGGGAAATGCCCCTGGACCCAGAGGACTCAGCAGTTAGCCAGCCCACGGGACGGCAGGTCACTGGGCTGCTCGTCGCCCCCCTCTGCCCGGAGCAGCATCC